TAATAATTATTATTATTTTTGTTGAAAAGTTACACCATTTTACAAAACTGTTCTGTTGCATGCAAAATAATAATAATAATAATAATTATTATTATTTTGGTGTTTATACTTTTGCATCAGAATGATGCAGGAATTGTTTATAAAAGTTCATTAATATATTAATTAAGTATTGTAATTATTATTATTATTTTTTGTTTAAAGTTTTGGATTGTTAAATCTGCGATAAAAAATATCTCATATATAAATGATTAAAAATTGAATGAACATTGAAAATTTTAAAGTAGTTTTACTTTTATTGGGCTACAACTGACTATGACTGGCATGACTTCATTGTTAACAGGAAAAGTATGATGTCCATAAGTGCATTTTGATGAAAAATTGCAGCCTATTGCATCAGGCTACAAATATTATAATTTCTTGTTATTTATGTATCTTTTTTTTTTCTAATATTTAAAATAAAATATCTTGTATGAAAGTTTCACTAACAAAATATATTAAAAATTTGAATTTATTACATAAGTGGTTTAATGGAGATATTTTTACATAATAAGCTATGCTTAACCCTTAATTGCCATTGTGTGGTTTCACAGACTATTTGACATGTTCATTGTTGTAGTCATTGTTGTCACTGATATAAAGTTAAAACTTGTTTTGTGTACTTTTTGTGGCCTAGAGAGTTTTGTATACAGGTATAAAGGAGAATGTAGCCGATAACACAAACATATTCTAAAACTCTAATGAAAGAACCAAGAGTTTATTTCACTGTCCTTGGGTACAATTTGAAACTCACAACTATCACAATATATATCTTAATTCTCAGTCTCTCCTGCATCTGCTGTTCATGACATGCACAACCTGAGATCAAAGAGGGAAAATAACACCTTGACCTCACACTCTTTGAGACCTACTTCTCGCTATGTCTTATCTTTTTGCTCACCAAGCAAAAAGTTTCTTTTTCTGTTCTATAGGCCTGTGCTAGGATTTGTCTAGATCCAGGTCCCTCTTACATCCTTTGTTGTTGCCATGTAATTGTTGTTGCCATGTAAAATCCTTTGAACAGTTTTGTGATGTACTTAAATACTCAAATCATCCCAAATTTTACACATGGATGCTGTGGATTTAGAAGCTGCATTAATAATTCATCTGTGGTCTTGCAGGGTAAGTTTTGAAGGACATCTACTTGTGTGCTTTGGTTTATAATTTGCAGGATTTGACTAATAATGATGAATGACCTTTTTTGAACATTTGATGCTGTTTGCTACTGCCTGATGACTTAAATCAGTGCTTCTCAAAGCTACAATTTGTCCTTTATTAGTCTGTTAAATGGGTACCATGAGGCATGATGAAAAAAAAAATACTTCCACACTTCAAACTTGTGAGAAAGATGGCAGTTCTATACTTATGTGGCAGTATTCAAATTGACTTCCTCACTATTTTGCAGTCAGCCATGAATTAGTTTCCTAAAATTATGTTTTTATAAGTTAGGTAATAAATAACATGTAAAAAAAAAAACTATTTGTATCTATTAGTGCATGTTTTGACCCTTAAAAGACCAATTTTTTGAGCAGTTCTATACTTTTGTGGAGCACCTTATATATAAGATGCTCCACAAAATGAGAAGAAATGCATATATATATATATATTAGTGTTGTAACGAATAGTATATTCGGCCTCAGGCCGAATACCGAATATTCGGCCAGGAGCGTGGCCGAATAGCCGAATATTCGGCCAAACTATTCGGCTCGATTATCGCACGTACGAAAATTGGCGCGCAAACCGCATTATGGCAAGGATCCCGCTCTCTATTGGCCCGCTGTCACTACGCTTCGCCAATTGCGTTAATTCTTGACAGTTGAAGCGGACAGACAAGAGCGTCATGGCAGTGTGTGATAAGTGATGATATCAAATGTGGATAACAATGAAATGACCTACACGTGTAAATAACGGAAAAAGAACAGAGAAGGACCGCGAAGT